AAGGTTCAAAAAACAATGTAAAAGTTTGGAGACATGTAGGCAGCAAATACCAGTGGCAACAGAGCACTACAGACTTCAGTAAAAGGCCAGAGAAACACAAGAATAAATAGTGTCACACTCAAGAATAAAGATTTTCAGAAGTTTTGCTCTCAAACCAGAGAGATCAGAGTTGTATCAGAAGTGATTTATTTTGAATAAAATTGCTCAGTTGTGTAATTTGCAGAAAGTTGGATAAAGGCCATGTTTTCCCTTCTCTTTGAAGTCTTCATGAAAAACATGACTTCAGTGGGAGCAAGACCACAATAATTTCTCTTTTATTACTCTTTTTCTCCATCTCTGCCATTTTAAACAAGGTAATACTGTTTGTTCTTTCAGAAGTCTTAATAATGTATTATACTTTAAAAATGACTATTTTGGGATCATGGTGGGGTTTTTGGAAGAACTAAGTGCTGCTGCTCTTGGACTATAAATCTGTGGTGCTTGGTTAAAAGGCTAAATGAACATTAACAGGTCCAGTCACTTTGACCTCAATGGAGTTAAAACAAGTAGCAGGGCAAGTTCAGTGGCTTTAAATGAGTTATTAGTCAAATTCCTGCTAAACCAGATAAATGTTATGTCATTCTCTTCTGTAATTTTCATCCAGAGAGCTCTGGCTGACTGGTGACTTCACATATTCTGGTCTGTGCTTTCCTGCTAGCAATATGATTCCTGTCCTGGCACTCCAGCCTCTGCATTTTTTCTATTTTGGCCTAAAGGAGTCTGTTCTGGTTATTTTGACTTTACCATGCCTATGGGGTCAGCCTGACAAAGTCAGGATGAATCACATGTACTGCTCATGTGATTTACATGTGCCCGTGTGTGTGTGCACATGTCCACAGTTGTTCATGCCTGGGAGCTTGTGCTCAGCAAGGTGAGAACAAAGCTGGAACCTAAGAAAGTCCAGGTACTGCTCCTGTTTTGATTGGATGTAATTTCAGAGTTGAACCAGAAGACACATGTGTCAGGACCTGGAAGTTTCCCAGCCCTGCACGTGAAGCAGGAGCAGGCACAGCACTCTGTACACTGAGCTTCTGCTTTGCAGTGTGTGTTTGCAGGTGTCTGTCTGTTTGGGATGCATTTGTATGGGCTGGTTCTGTGGTCTCAAGCAGAAGTGGCCAGGACGTGTTCAAGGATGTTATTGATTTTTTTATTTGTTCTCCTTTTCCCCCACCAAAAATCCCTACATTTATTTTATCTTGGTTTTATTCTGCCCAATATTGTGATTTGGAAAGCAAGTAAACAAAATGCTGATTTATAAGAAGGCTATTCCTATTTCTTTCATGTTTCTTATGCCTAGATTCTGCTCAATAATTGCCATCTTTGTGTGTGCATTCTTTAGTCAAACAAATAAGCTAGATTTAATGAGATCTTTTTCCTTATGCAAGGACCTCTTCAGCATGAAGAGAGAAAGAGAAGTAGTAATATTTGCTAACATAAATCATAACGAGAAATGTTAGTATTTGTAGAAGGAACACAAGGTAGTGGATTGCAGTTGCAACCATTCATGCTTGATTGATTCCTGAAAGTAAGATATATTTGCATAATGCAGGCATGTTTTGGGGGAAGGGAAGAGGAAGGAGAATATTTTTATCCTTTTATTCTTACTCTTGTTTTCCTCTCCTTTTCTCAGTTTTGCTACATTTTCAGTTTTGACAAGATTTTCTTTCTTGCCAGATATCAACAAAAGCAAAGAATGTATTCAGTAGTATTTTAATTAGTAAGTGAAGTTTACTTATATTTGTTCAGTTCTTCTGTGCATAGATGGTGAGAACACTGACGTCTGGAAAGCCCCATCTACCTGGTGTCCCTAACACTTGTACTTTAGCCTCACTGACATCATCCACAGTCACTTGGAGCAGATTCCTTAACTCAGGTTGTCAAGTTTGTGGAGTAAAAGCCAAGGCTGGCTGGTGAAATGATGTGGAGCTGGCATGTTCTCATCCCACTCGGTGTCCTTTTTCGTCTTGTGAGGTGCAGCGGGGGTTGTCATTAGGTGTTGTGTGAAGATCCTGAGTGCCTGGGCAAGCTCCCAGGTGTCTGGGTGAGGCGAGGTTCTGCTGTGGCACGCTGCCTGGGCAGCGCCGTGCAGCTGCAGCAGAAGTGGGAAGCCTCGGCGTGCAGATGAGCCACGGTGTCTAGACACGCTGTGATCGTTTCTTTGCTCAGCTCCATGTGGAGCCAAATATCTCTTCAGGTGTAGCAGACAGAGGTGAGCACAGTGCCTGCACCCATGTAAGAGCAAAGGTGGTAAATGTGTCTGTGCTCTCCACGGTGCTCCTGCCAGATTCAATCACACTGCTTGCTCACAACACTGACTTTTGTGCTGTATCCTATCAGCAGCAGGAACCAGCACTCCCACGTGTTTTGCTTTAAATCTTGTGATGATGTCTTGAAACCTTCCCCTAGTATACACCTAAGTCTATTTTTATCCGTTTGCAGAAGTCCCCTTGCTGCCCCATTCCTTTAAATTAGTGGGCTTCTGGGAAGTAAAATGTACCATGGCTGAATTCCCCTCTTGTGTACCTGTGTTTGTCATTGAGAGTAGGTACAACAGCTGTTTGGGAAGTGAGTTTGTCCGTTGCTTTTCCTGACCATTTTCATAGAAGTTTTTGTGTTAGACTGAAACTGATCATCCATTCCAGAGTCATTTTGAAAGGAAAGAGTGGGAGACAGAGGCATGAAGCAAAGCCACTCTAGCCTTTTTACATTAGCAACTGATGCTAAACCAAAGCAAAAGTAAACTAAAACATGATTGCATACCTTCCAGTAAAATTGATTTTTTTTTTTTTTTTTTTTTTTTTTTAGTTAGACTTCTAATTTTGGTGGCTTTATTTACAGTTTCTGTAATTCTGGTTTGGTGTGGGCTGTGTAGACTGAGTTAACCTAATTTTAGCTTAAATAAGTGAATACTCAGGGTGGTTTCTGGTGTTATCCTACCCACAGCATGTACTGTATTGTGCTTGATGAGAGTGCTTCCACAGTCATGGGACTGCAGAGTTGCCATATGAAGAAGTGTAAGGGAAGCAAGACATGGCTCTGTAGAAATTGAACTTTTATGTATTAGTTTTTGTGTGTGTGCATGTTTTCCTTAAATCAATAAGATGGATTCATACCCTGCTTTCCAGTTTTGTTTAGGTTATTAAGATTAGAATAAAAGTAACCTTGTTCAAGCTTTTATTTTGGTTGAATAAAATCTGATACGTTTATGTAAAAATAAGAATCACGAAGCGAGCACGTTCAGGTGCTTATAGAAAACACTAGTAGTGTTAGGCTTGTTTGGAAAAATCGAGGTATATAAGCTTCTTTGTAATGTTTCAAAGTCTAATAATTCAGCTGCTCATTCTGGTGTAGTGAGTGCATACATAAATCACTAGCACACTGCATCTTGGAGATGGGTTGCTTGTAGTTGTCTGTAGAACTTGCTGAACAGTAACAGTTATAATTAATTACTTGACAGACTGAATGTCTTAGAGTAGTTTGTCATCAACATGCACTGGTGACTGGTAGTTTGAGTGCTGAGGTGTTTGAGCATTCTCTGGTACACAGTAGTATAAAAAGCAGAATTTGGTCCTCTTCCAAATTTTAAATTTGTCCTTGCCTTTCTGAAAAGTGGGAGGCAAAGAAAAGGTGATGCAATGTCTTGTTGAAAATATAAGCTTTTCCTACCACCTTGGACTATGAAATTGAAAGTGACTTTCTGTACTTCAGCTTTGCTTGATCCCTGTGCCTTGGAGAACACCATCTAAATCTGTTTTTGGCAACTTCTACAGCTGAATTTCACAGAGGGGTCTGTATATGTGCACATATGATATAAATGATATGATAAAATTCTTAATTTAGGATAAAATATGTAAATTGTAATCTGAAGTACTTGATGATAGGGAGAATGAGATTCTTGAGAAATTTTGATGTGGTAAACAGAAATCTGAATCTTTGTTGGCCAGTCTGGAGAGTTCTTCTTGCTGTATGATGTTTCCAAACATTTCTATGGTTATGCATTTGGCAGACTTCCTGAGACTTTCATAGGTCAGGAAAGCATTGGAAAAAAATCACAAACACTTCCAGTCATCTAGTGCAGTCATTTCATAGAAGTGAGTAAACAGAGTGGAACAATGTCTCCTTTTTTGCCTCACGTCTCTGTTTAGGTTCAAGGGTGAGCTGTTGATTGCTGGTGTATTCTGTTCTGTAGACGTTCTCAATCGAGGAAACGAATGCTTTAATTGGACAGAGGACTACTGTTTTTTCTTGTGAAGTGCCTTTTTCTTGAGGTGCTGAGAGCAGGAAACTGCTATGGGATTCCTGTTTCATGTAGAGATAGCACATGATTGATTAGCAGTACTTTCTTTGGTTCAATAAATAAAAAAAAGCAAGATAATTTTTTGAATATTTATCTTGTGTTTGTCATTCCTACAAGATGGGTTAATGTCTTGAAATGTCCTTAATGGTGCATCGCTCTCGCAAAAATGCCTTTTGTATTGTTTTGAGATATTAGAGAGTAACTATGTTTTTCTTTTGAACTTTTGTTTTATGGAAAGGTGGAAGAATACTGAAGTTTTACCTGCCTGAATTTTGTTATGGATTTTACTCAGGGACAAATTTAAGTCTGTGTATTAGAGATGTTTAATTTTAGTGCTATTAAGGCACCAAGGCAAAATTTTATAGTAAGGATTTTTCTCAAATTCATGTCTCATGGATTTTGGTAACTCTGCAGCAAATATTCCTTTTCTGATCCTCATCCCAAGCTGCCAAGTATTTTAAAAAATTATTTTTTTTTCAATCTCTTTCCATTTGGTTCTTCTTCACATTGTGTAGTTAAAAGTGCCTTACATTTCTAATTTATTGGCTTGGGAGACATGTTTTATGTCTGCAGTAAATGTCTGACAATTGCTGATGAGCTGCCTCCTCAATATCTATTATCTCTCTTCTGTGTTTCCTTAACTCCTAGGAGCCTCCAACATAGACCCAGGACCCCACTTTGGCTCTGCACAAACGCTGAACAGAAGCAGTACATGATTACAGAGGGATGGTGACTAAAAGGTGGGTAAGAGACTGTATTTTGTTCAGTCAGTAGATGATAATGTCATGGAGAGATGATGTCTGGAAAAAAGACTTGTGATGTGACTTTGTAGACCATTACAGTTGTTCTGCCTTTCTCTTTTCCCTAAGCTAAGGAAATCCATCAAATGGAAGTGGGAGGAACGAATGAAAAAGAACCTGCAATTCTCCTCTCTTCTTACCTCTCTTGAATTGTGCTTAACCTCAAAAAGGGAAACTATGTAAAAGTGGGGATGTTTGTTTACAGTGACATTGAAAGAGTAATGTGTTTGAAGGTCACTATTTCAAGATGCTGTTTTGGAGGCTCCACACAAACACTTAACCATCAGTCTAAAAACGTCTTAGGAAAAGGAAGTCTGTATAGCTAAATGACCAGGTAGAGGAGACTATTAAAAGTAAGAGAACATCTTAAAAAAAGCTGTGTCTGTGTTCAAAGAAGGAAATAAAATCAAAACATTCCCCTATCTGGCTAAACAGAAAGTTAATGAATGCTTTTTTAACCACACCAAGAGCAGGAGGCCAGCTGGAGACTCTGTGTGGCCTGTGTGTAATGACTCTATGGCAGCAATGATCCAAGATAAAGCCATGGCAGAAAACTTAGTAATTCTTGTGTGTATGTGCTCACCACTAAAAAGTGCGGAGTGGTTCCTGTTTTGGAAACCTTCTTAGGTTAGGAGAAACCTTCTTAGATTTAGGAGACTGCCTTTCTTTAACTAATTTAATGTTCTCAGTTTAGCAGGTCCAGATGTAGTCTGCCCAGTTGTTGTAGGAATGGTAGAGTAAAATAGACCAGCTTCTGACTGTGGTATGCAGCCCCTTGCTTTTAAGTGTCTCACCAGTTGAATACTTGAAGATGTCTAATTTCATACCACATTTCAGAAAGCATTCATGTGGACTCAGGGAGTCTAAAAACCAGTGAGTCACCTGTTTAAACTGAGTGGATTAATTAAAAAATTAGATTAGTATCTCTGTTTTAGAAAGAGCATTGAGTATTACAGTGGAGATACTGAGAAAGGGTTGATTTCTGTGAATTAAAGCCTGATTAAGAGGATGTTTAAGACCTGGTGAACAGGTTAATATTATCCTTCAACTACTTGAAGGATGTTTACAAAGATCATGGAGCCAAAGTTCCTAGTTCTGGCAAACCAATAGCAGGAGGTTAACATACACAGATTGAAATGTTCTGATTGGACATTGTAGGTAAACCTTTTTCTGTAGGAGTGTAGTGCAGCACTGAATAAAACATGGGTTTGAGGTGGGGCTGGCACCCCTCTTAGTAGAGTTTTCAAGTCTTAGCTGTACAGTGCTATGGCTGAGCTGATCTTCTGTGGCTTTTAATGGCTAGCCAGACTGTCTGACTGGAGGACTCCCAGAGATCTTATGTAGCCAGAATTTTTGTGATTTGAAGTCAAATCACAGAAATGGCCTGTGGTCTTTGAAGGAGACAACTGGCATGCAGGTGAAAGACATCATTGGATGTATTGTTCTACTTAAATGATGAAAATTTATTTCATATTCAAAGTTCTCTTGAAAATTTTTTAAAGGAACTAAATAGGCACAAGTTAAGGAGGAGGACTGTGTTATTAGCTTATTAACTGTTTTAATAGTTGTTTAAATTGGAAGGAAAAAAGCTTCAGGGGAAAAGTGTGTTGGAAATCACTGATGGATTCCCATAGATAGCTTTGTGAGTGCCCGGGGGTATTTTCATATTTATAAGTGACTTGGGACAAAAGTGTGGTGACAAGGTTTATTTCTGAAACTAAGTTTTATGGGACAAAAGAAGGTAAAAAAAAAAAGGGGGCAGACTGAAACAAACACAAAAGAACTATGTAAAACTGAATGGCCATTAAAATGATGGAAGAAATTCAGGATCAGTAATGTTAAAGTATTTTGAGTTAGCTTGAGGTCTTGGGACTATAACCAGCAATTTATCGAAAAAATCACCTCTATATTTTAGGAGCAATTGGGAAGCAAATTTATATCAGGAATTACTCTAAGAGGGGAGAAATTGAAATATTAGACCACTTTCTAAATCTGTGAAGTGTTTGTGTCTTAAAGATGGTGTGCTGTCCTGGTCTCCTTATCTCAGAACAAGTGACGTAGAACAGGAAAAGTTTCAGAGAAAGGCAACAAAAACGAAGAAGGGTAGCAGGATGCAGAAGACATCAATGGAACAGTATTCCATGCAAGAACAACTAACTAGATGAGAGCTTCCAGACTGGAAAAGAGAGAATGACCAGGTCCTAATGCTAGGTGTTTGCAAAATTATAGGAGTTGTGAGGTGTGTGGATGGGAAATGAATACTCAGTGCCACCTAATTTTTGTATTAGAAGAGAGATGAGCTGAAACAGGCAGGGAGCAGTCTTAAAGCTAGGAAAAGAAGTGTTTTGTTTTGGGATTTTTTTTTTTTTTGCATAGTGTGTAAGTTCTGAAATTCCTTGCCACAACATGATGTGTGTGCTGCATGGGTATAAAGAGCTTCTGAACAAATGTGGAAAAGGAGGTGGAAGAAAATAAAAAAAAGAATTGATAAACAAAGGTACTATCCCCAGGTAAGAAAATTACTGAACTGCAAATTAGGGAAAGTATGAAGTGTTTTGGGGAGAGTGAAAGAGAATTTTTGCTTGTGGCTGCTCTAAACATCTGCTCTTAGCTGCTTCTGAAGACAGAGTAGTAGGTCAGGCTGGATGTTTTGTCTGAGTTGGTTTTGTCATTTCTGTTGGGTTAAACAGCCAGCCTGACCCACTGTGGTGGTTCTTCAATGCTGTCTTATAAACAGTAAGGTTGCAGGGTGCAGTCCCAGAAGAGAACTCTGTTACTAACACTATTTTAAAAAATGCTAAGCTGTTATGTAATTTGAGGTCTCCCACAGAGCTTGGAGCCTTTTCTCTCATTTTAAGATAAATCCTTTTAATCTTGTTTTGGCACTTGATAAATTACAATTAAATTTGCTTTAATATGTTCAAGCTGTTTCTTTGAGAGTTCAATTCTTAGTCAAAAAATCTCTGTTTACCCTGTTCTCTGTGCAGTCTGTAGTGCCTGTCAGGGAGCGAGGAATTACCAGAACACTTTTTCTCAATCTGTGAGTTCTAGTGAGACCCATTTTGGTGTAGAGACAGTAAACTTCAAGGGAAGAGATAAGCAAGATGAAATTGCAAAGCCTAAAGGAAGTACAAAGAGAAGGACAAACCCCTGATAAATTTGGAGATTCTTTTGTGCTTGTGAATTAACTTGAGAAGAAAAGCATTGGAGTTATATTATCATGATCAAAGGGGAAAGGCTAAAAGTGACAGCATGTCATAATTATAGCAGTTTAAATGGCTGGAACAGATCAGGTTACTGGAAGGAAGATGGTCATGGGAGAAAATTAGAGGAAAGTAGGTGAATTCATCTTAAGGAATTGAATGAAAACATGTAAACAAGGTTGAGGAACTACTAAATAAAGTTCTGAAGAGTTAACAGAATTTTAGAAGCTTAGAGAGGAGTGGATACTGGTAATGAAATCAGCTATGTTTAGTTTTCCATCAGTGGTTTACACATGTGAGATGGATGGATCCATGCAAGTATTGAAGAGTGTTCCAACTTCCTCTACCAGTATGCGTATTTCCTCTGGGAATCTTTCCAAGGGGACTTGAAATCAAAAAAAATTTGGAAGGGGAATTTTTTTTTTTTTATTAGGTCAGAGAGGTTTGTTGCTCTTGGCAAAAATGAATTTTGTTAAAACAGTAGCAAAAACGAATCTAAAGAAGCTGAAATGGAGACTGAGAATTTCTATGTAACATGGCCAAGACTTGGAAAGACAAAAATGATACCAAAATTTCAAATAGTAATGTACAGTCCTGAGGAAAGAGTATTTTTCTTGGGAAGAGGGGATACAAAGGTGTGGGTTAGATATGGATGGATGGGAATTGCAGAATAAGAGCAATTAAAAGGGAAATAAGAAGAATTATATAACATAAGTCATTACCAATTTAAAGTAATGCTTAGGTCAGCCATTTCTCCACCCACTCAATTCCTCATCCATTTATGAAGAAAAGTTCTTCTTGGGCTTCTGACTCTTCTGGTGTCTTCCTTGTGGCTCTGTGTGTGTAGTGATGAGAGTTTCCCTTTGTGCAGGACCTGTGAAATTTTAACAGAGGAAGCATAACAATGAAAAGCTTGTTAAGAGCAATTGTTCTTTGTTACAAGAAATCTGCATTCAGCAATAGCAGCAATAGCAATTTCAGAGTAGAAGCAACTTCATTCTCTATTAGGAACTTTGTGCCTGGTGTGTAACATAACTGCAGATCACTGAGCTGCAAACAGCTTTGTACTGAAGTGATGAATTGGGCTGTGCTTGAATCTGCATATGAGGTGAAGAAGGATCAGGGAGGGATGGATGAGGTCATTGTGCCTAATGGAAAACTCTTTGTTTCTTGCTGCAGAGAACGAGACTCTTCCCATTAAAGCCAATTAAATCTCTGAGATTAATGGCATCTAGAAGCAGGGTTTTAACACCTGGTGTGAAACTAAATGGTCTTTGATTTATAATCTTAATCTTTCTATTTTTTTCTTATGCTTTAAAGTCTAGTTAGGGTTAAAGTTCAGCTTCCCCCCCCACTGGCACAACTGCCCTCCTTTAGGTCACACTCCTTGCAATAGAGATGCTACCTTTAATTATTCCAGATACCTTTCATTAGCCTAAAGTCTCATGGGATGCTTTCTCTTGTTGTGATGATTGAAAATGTCATAAGAATTTGTAGAAAAGGGCACTGTTTCAAGACTTTTTGAACTGACTCTGTTGATCCATGTTTGGTGGATTAATATTTTTTTTTTCGCATGAGAGAGATTTTTCTACTTGCAGTGTGTGCATTAAAATATGTATAATCTGTTTGCTCTGGAAGCCCTTTTGGCAATGACGCTGAAGCAGTTTGAATTATTTTTCACTCAGAATTCAGATTGTATCTTTATAAAATGTGGTAAAATCCAGTGCTGGAAAGCAT